CATTTTGAAATACTAAAAACCACTTAATTGTACACTTTAAAATAGTGAATTTGTGTTATCTGACTTTTATCTCAATTTAAGAAATATTTTTAAAAAGTGAATGGAGACAGAGAGCAAGATCACAGAGGCTGGGGCAGGACTCCCAGTCTGGACTCCCAGTCTCAACCCCACCAGGACCCACTGTGCTAGGGAGGAAGAGCCTATATAGAAGGCAGAGCCCAGAACTGGCACCAGCAGGACATCCAGGTCCAGGGACCTCCACTTGGCTATGAACTCTTGCTGATATTCCTGCAGGGACAGTGAGGGGTGGGAAGGGTAGGACGAGCAGGGGTTACTGTTTGCCAGACAAGGTCAGATGCTGCCAGGCAGCACTGAGTTGCACACCAGGAGGAAGTCTCAGGCTATGAGCTTCGGCCTGAGATACCTGTGGAGGTTCAGGGTCTTCCCAGGGACAGAGGTGAAGGAATGGGAAGCTGAATCTCAGGTCACAAGGATTTGCGGACAATGCTCTAGGGAGATGGACTAGAATAACTTCTGAGGTCACCAAGCGCCCCCACCCAGGTCCAGTTGGGCCTCCTCTGCAGGCCAGGCCATAACTCTGACCACTCAGGGCACTACCCAGGTGTCTGCAGCCCCGGCTCCAGCAGCCCCTCAAGGTCTTCCCAGGCATGCATTACCTCCACTGCTGTGTGCTGCTCCCGCAGTTTCTTGGGTGTCCTGAAAGAACGAGGAAGACTCTGAGAAATTCAAAGGTCAGCATGGGAGGGACCCCTTTTATGCAAATGGGGACATGGCACCCAAGGCCTCAGTGCACACTGCAGATCAACTGATGGGATGAGAGTGACCCTGTGTCTTGTCCCCTGGCCAAGACATCTTGCCTGCCCAAGGTCCCCAAGAGTACACATCCTCTGGTCAATCCACCCTTCATTCCACCGGTCGCAGGAACTCAGGGGCTCCCTCAAAGGCCACAGGCTCCTTACCCTAATCTGTGAGGCACCCAGTTAGCCCTCAGGCCACTCCAACCCAATTCTGCCCAGCATCTCAACACCAACCCCACCAGGCCAAGACCAACAGCAAACCCAAGCCCACACCAGAATCCTCTCCCAACCTCATCTCTAACCCTAACTCTAGCCCCACCCCAACTCCAACCTCAGTCCCAACCCACTTCCAAATCTATCTTTGCCCCAACCCCAACCCAAACCGACTGCAACCCCAGCCTCAGTCTTAAGCCCAACCCCAAATAAAACCTAATCTCAACTTCAGCCCCACACTTTACCTCAACCTAGCTTAGCCTTAATTCAGAATTTTTTTTTTTCCTTGAGACAGAGTCTCTCTCTATCACCCAGGCTAGAGTACAGTGGCACCATCTTGGCTCACTGCAACCTCCACCTCCTGGGTTCAAATGATTCTCATGCCTCAGCCTCCCGAGTAGCTGGGATACAGGCACATGCCATCACACCTGCTGATTTTTGTATTTTTAGTAGGGACAGGTTTCATCATGTTGTCCTGGCTGGTCTTAAATCCCTGGCCTCAAGTGATCCTTCCCGTTTGGCCTCCCAAAGTGCTGGGATCACAGGCGTGAGCCACCACACCCGGCCTTAATTCAGATCTTAACTCCAAATCAAGTCCCAACACCAATCAAAAGTCTCAATATAACGCTAATGTCAGGCATGATCTTAAAACACTAATTAAAGTCCAAAATCTAAATAGTTCCCCCTCTAAGTGGACACCAACTCTAGCCACATGCTCCTCCTCAATTCCCACCATCCCGTGGACAACCCTTGTGGGTAGAAGCTGGCCCTAGGGAGACTCACCCCACTCCACGAATCTCTTCAAGATGCTGGCTAGTTCGGGGATCCTAGAGGGGGATGAGATGGTGAGTTCAACTTCAGAACCCACAGGGAAACAGCCAGCCTGCCCAGGAGGGGGTCCAAGAAGGGTGGCATGAATCAACACACTGACATGGAACCCTCCGATCCTCAACAAGCCTACACCACTTCACCAAGCCCTGAGCTTCTCCGAGCTCACACCAGCCCTGCAGCCCTCCAAATGCCCTTCCCCCTTTCTGAGCCTCCTCTCGGAAACCCCCTCCCCTCTCTGTGAGCACCCTACTCTTTTAGCCCCATCCCCTTCTTTCACTATTTTTTCTAATTAATTTTTTTTTAAGACAGAGTCTTACTTGTCACCCAAGCTGGAGTGCAGTGCACAATCTCAGCTCACTGCAGCCTTCACCTTCTGGGCTCAAGCAATCCTCCCACCTCAGCCTCCTGAGTAGCTGGGACCACAGGCATGCACCACCATGCCCAGCTAGTTGTGTTTTTTTTTTTTTTCCCCATTCTTTTTAGAGAATGGAGTGCCACTGTGTTGCCCAGGCTGGTCTCAAACTCCTGGGCTCAAGTGATCCTCCTTGGCCTCCCAAAGTACTGGGATTACAGACAGGAGCCACCGTCTACCCAGCCCTTCATTCTTCTTCCCCATTTTGAACCCCTCTCTGAGCTACCACCATTCTCTGGGCCTCATCCTTCTCTCTGACCCCACTTCCTCTCCTTCTGTGGGCTCCCTCTGCTTTCTGAGTCCTTCCTACTCCCTGTGCCCCTGCCCTTCCAAAGCCCTCCCTAACCAGGGCCCGCATTTACTATGTACCTTGGGAACCAGGCCAAGAAACACTTGACAGGGTCTGGCAGGCAGAGCTGGTTGACCATGCCCTTTACGCTGGGATCCATAATGTCCCCCTCTCTGAGGAACCAGTCACAGATGGGTCAATCACAGCCTTTAGCCAATGGCCTGCCCCCACAGCCAACCAACTTCTACTCCGTAGACAAGAAGAAGGCCAAACCCAAAGATGCGCTTCTGCTCTCAGCCCCACCCCCGGAACAGGTGCATCCTAAAGACAGGCGCAGTGGGTGGCTTGCTGCATAAGGTCACACTGTTAGCCAGAGCCATCCCAGCCCAGGCCCCCAGTTTCCCTCCTGGGACTCAGGTTGGCTCCAGTCCCCTCCCCTACCTTGTTTCCACCATGCCCCACCCCTGAGTCCCAGCAGATAACGTACAGCTTCTCTAGAAGAGTGGCCCCTCCATCAGTAAACATCCCCCCTGCATATAAGTCTTTGATGGCATACTCTGCCCGGGGGATGGAGAAGGGGATAACCTGGGGAGGCAGAGGCAGAGTCAGGATCCGGAGCTTCCCCAACCCTGCCTGGTTCTCTGTCTCTGTATCCCCCAAGATTTCAAGAGGGATGCCACATCATCTGGTGCATCTCCGTCCAGCTCAGTGCCTCAGCATGCATGGGAGGCCTGTGTCACTGGTCGCTCTTCTGCCACCCCACTCCCTCACCCCACACACAGATGCGACAGAACAGAACGAGAGCAGCCCTCATTTCCTTCACGCTTCACTGTGACCCAGCTAGCATGCCAAGTGCTTTATCTATGGAACCACATTTAATCTTCACAGCCACCCCATTGGGTAGAAAACAAGCCCAGGGAATTTAAAAGGCTAGCGCAAGATCACATCGTAGAATCTCAAAGGGGAAGTGAGGCCAGGACAAGTCACTGGAGGCAGGGGAGGTGGGGGTAAGGCTAGGGTGGGGATTTTGGAGACAGAAAGCTCCTCATAGCCCCTTGATGGAGGCAACAGAGACCCAAGCTAAAGGAATTACAGGAGTGAGTTCCTGAATCTCCACCCCTGAAGGAAGAAGACACAAAAGCTTGATGCCTTCCTTACAGGGTAGGGCTCACCCTATCCCCACCTCCACCCCATCAGTCTTCTCCAGGAAGCACAGGGGAAACACAATTATCTCAGCACCTCAAACTCAGATGTAGCCACCTTTGTCTCCAAGAATGGCCCTGCCCAGCATCCTCGCACTGGTTCGGTCTCTCTCTCACCCAGGACCAGGTGAAACTATCTGGTGTCATGCATCCTGGGGCAGCCAAGAGGTGGCTGCACAGCCCTGGCCATGATAGGGGATGGCTGGATGTAACCATCTGATTCATAGCAGCCGATTCGAAGGGGCTGGTTACTGGTGTAAACCTGGGGGCACAAGGGGCTGGGTGGAGCTCAGAGGAGAGACTGGGCTGGGGCCAAGGTGGCCCCACTGTCTCCAGGAACCAGACTTTAAGGGCAGGGCCTTGGTCTACAGCTGTCCTCACCAAGGGGGGAATCCACGTGGACACCCCAAGACCCGCGGGAGCCTCCCTATATACTCTCCAGGCTCTAGGTGCTCTGGGGAGCCCCCTGGAAGAAGGAGAAATAGATGCGATAGGTGATTGGGCGGATGGGGTGGATAGTAGATAGATGGTAGACTGACTCCTGGGTGGGTGGGTGGATGTATGTATGAGATGGTGGGTAGCTGGGTGGGCAGAGGGTTGAATGCATATGTGGGTGAGTGGATGAATGGATGGTTGGAGTTGAGTGGGTGGGCAGGTGAGTAAGTCATGCATAGACAAAAATATCTTTAAGCTAGAGAAATGTTAGGAGAAGATGAGGATGGAGATCAATAGGGGCAAATACCCAGACTAGGGTCTGGGGTGGAGGGCCCCTAGTCCTAGGAAGTGGGGTGCTGCCAGAGAGGCTGCCACCCCTCACCCATCACACACTACATGTTTGTAGGGGCAAATCATGGATGATATACAATGATCTCAGGTTGATAATGCTAGGAGGGGTGTAGGGAATTGGAGGAACAGACATTGCCAGGAGGTAGACAGAAACTGCCCTATGGAGAGGGTTCTGCTGGGTTCAAAGCCAGCTCTACCAGTTACTAACTACATGATCATAGGCAAGTCATTTCACTTCCCCTCAGTCTCCCCAGCTGAGGAGGAGAACTGCTCCATCCTCAATGGCACTCCAACAGTGCCATTACACAGTGGCACTGTGTAAATGGGAGGAGCACTGCTCATTCTGTAGAGTGTTAGGATGAGACACATTGAGCCTGGCACACAGCTGGTACAAGCAAATGTTGTTGAATGAATTAACGAACAAATGAAGGCTGCTGTAGATAGAAGGGTGTGGAGTGATCTCCCAGCCTAACCTCTTTATTGTACTGATGGGGAGGTTAAGGCCGAGAGAAGAGATGTGACTTGGCCAGGGTTACCTAGAGGGTTAAAAGCCTAGCTTAACTGGATGCCACATCCTCTGAACCACACTTGCTGAGTATTCTGCCTGCATGGGTTGAGTATATGGCACTGGAGGCCCTCTTTGGGGGCACTTACAGCTATGGCTCCAGATAGCCAAGAGGCCAAAGCAGCTGGCGTCCAGCAGGGGCAGGAAACAAACTGGACTGAGCATGTGGGCTTCTCACTCACTGTAGCCTGGGGTGGGTAAGGGGGTCTTCACCTGGGAAGGTGAGATGGCAGACAGGTCAGGGAGGAATGATGGTAGGGGGCAAGGAAACTCCCAGGTCTGCTCTCCCACCTGGCTTACCTCCTCCCTGAAGGGCATCCGGGGCACAGTGGGGTCCAGTCGGTACCTGTCTTCACTCAGCAGGGTTCGCAGGCACAGCGCCAGGCTCTCCACGTCCCAGGCCATGGGGACCACCACTGTGGTCACTGCACAAAGAGGAGGGGAGAGAAGCAGGCACCTCTCATTTTGTTTGTTTGTTGTTGTTGTTTGAGACGAAGTTTTCCTCTGTCACCCAGGCTGGAGTGCAGTGGCATGATCTCTGCTCACTGCAACCTCCGCCTCCTGGGTTCAAGCAATTCTCCTGCCTCAGCCTCCCCAGTAGCTGGGATTACAGGTGCCCGCCACCACACCTGGCTAAGTTTTGTATTTTTAGTAGAGACGGGATTTCACCATGTTGGCCAGACTGGTCTCGAATTCCTGACCTCAAGTCATCTGCCCGCCTCAGCCTCCCAAAGTCCTGGGATTACAGATATGAGCCACCGCACCCAGCCAGCAGCTCTCATTTGTTCTGCCCTGGGCATCCCAACTGCCTGGCCTCAGAGGGTGGGTTCCAGGGTCATGGTCAAGACAAAGGAAGAGATTAAAGCTAGATAGCAGGACAGAAGCCCTTCTCAGAGGGCCAAGAGTCACTGGACAAGGGGAGGCTGGGTGGGAACCATGCAGTCCCTCTCCCAGTCATCATCTGTGGGGCTGATCTGTCTGGAGATATAAGCTGAGCAAAATGTCCTTGGGAGAAAGACGGGCAGGTTCATCTTTAAATGGGGTGACCACAGGCACAAACCAGGACTTACCCAATTTTCTCCCCTTGATGGCAGAGGCAATTCCAGTGTAGCTACAAAACACTCCCACAGCTCAGCATGTGAAGGGAGGTGCCGGGGTGCCAGGAGGCTTGAGCTCCCCCAGGGTGCAGCCCAGAAAAATAGGAGCTGCTTCAACCTTCCGTGACTCTCTACTGCTCACAGCATAAAGTCTGATCTCTTTGACTGCCTTTCAAGGCTCTAACTCTCCATGGCTTCCCCTTCTAGCCCTTCCATACGTGCATATTGCTGCAGGCAAGGTCAGCCACTTACACACTATCTTACAGCCTTCTAGACGCCACATCATCTCTGCATGTCCAGCCCTCAAAACCACGCTCAAATGCTGCCTCCTCCAGGAATCCTTCCCTTCCCTTGCCCTGCTCTGAAAGTCAAGAGTATAAACTTTTAATAAATCTCTGTTGAAGAAAATGTCAGCTTCCTCTTGTGCATTCCCACAAGCTCTGACCCTCTCTTAGAGACCTGATCACTTTCTGACTAAGTCATTTCTGTGTCTAAGAGCACAGCAGGGGCAGGGGCAGAGGCTGGGTCCAAGAGTGTCTGTGTCCCCAGTATAGGTGCCATGGTGTGGGTACACAGAGTGGAGTTGAGAGATGGGTGGATGCATGCATGCATGCATACACAATGAATGGGTGGGTGGGTGGATGGATGGATGGATGGATGGATGGATGGATGGATGGATGGAGAGATACAAATGTGGATTGATAGACGGATGGATACACAAATGGATGGATGGAAAGATGGATGGATAAATAAATGGTTGGAAGGAAGGGTGTGTGTAAGTTTTTCAAGGGCTACCCAAGTAGCTAGTACCCAAGGAACTGTTATGTCTGACACAGTAAATACTCAATAAAAATCTTTTAAATAAATAGTCGTTGAATGGTAAAATTAATTGATGGATAGAGACTGAGATGATGACCACGTGGTAGTTGAATGGATGACGGATGGATAGATAGATAAATGGACAGATTGATGAGTGAGTAAGAGAAAGGGTATGTGGATGGAGAGTTGTATTGATTAATGAATTAATGAACTGATGGATTAATGAGTGGAAGGTCATTAATTACTTCTACATTAATTACATTGCTGCTGCCTGGACAAAACATGGTATGTTTGGCATGGCTACTGCAGGAGTTATTTGAAGCCCTCCTATCCACTTCCCCTAGTACTGAGCTGGGTAGATGAAAGTTGATGGGAGGAGCAGACCCCTCTACTTCCCCTAGTTCCTCTAGGCAGGTCCAAACCCACCCCACCACCACCATCAATGGGTACCTGAGGTGGGAACCTGCAGTCCAGAGGCCATAAACACCACAGAAGCTGGCTGATATGCAGATGCTGTCACCTGTGTCAGTACCCATGTCTAGGATGGACCCTCTTTCTGCCATCAGAGCTCCCTCTCCCCCTGAGGAGCCCCCACATGTCTTCTTTAAGTTCAGTGGGTTCAACGTCTGGCCATAGATGGGGTTGCTGCACTCAAAGCTAAGGGAAGCAGAAGAAAAGGAGCTGAGAGTGAAAGCCTCACTGGGCAGACCCCTCCCCATATGGGGGCCAACCACCCTCCAGAGTCGACCCCAGGGCTTCCTGGGCTCCATGAGCTCCTCCCTAAGGCTGAGGCTTCCTGGACTCCCTTCCAGCTGGAGTGAGGGGCCGCTGCTGCAAGAAAGACCAAGATCAGACACCAGCCATGACTCCTAGTATTAGGACCAAAGAGGCCACAGCTCTGCCATCAGAACTGAGAACATGTTCCTCACGAAACATAGATGCTCTACAGGCTGAGCAGGGAAGGGAGAGAATAAGTGATGGGGAGAACAATCAAAGAGAGAAGGCTGGATAGAAATAGAACAATTTGAGAGAGAAACTGGGATAGAAACAGAGTGTAGCTTTACAGAACCTTGGAGCCCGAAGGGCCCTTATAGACTGTGGAGTCCATCCACATGTTCTACGATAAAGGAATTCAGCCCCGGGGACAGAAAGGGCTGGCCCAAGAACCCTGGTCTCTGAAGTCTGCATGACTAGCCCCCTCCTCACCCTCTGCCCTGAAATGGGACTTTAAAGAGCTGTTTCAGCCCTGGGCTTATCCCAGCCCAGATCCAGCTAGCCCGCTTCAGAGACCTGAGCAGCGTCTGTGGGATGTTGGTCTGAACAAAGGGGATGGCTCCTTGGGCCTTGAGCACTTTCACAATGACCCCGTCCTTGGTTGCAGGCTTCTCCGGGAACTGGGCCAGGAGGCAAGTGGAGTCATGGCCCTGCAGGGAAGGAGCATTACCTCCAGCCATGAGGGTCACGGGGGAACCACCCAGCTGGCTGATTTTCAGCCCCACTCCACCCCCACTCACACACACTCTCACACCCTTGGGGACACAAGCACGGCACTTCATGGATGGCAAAAGAGTGTGGTGGCTGAGAATTTGGGGTTTGGAGCCCAAATTCTGGGTTTAAATCTCAGTTTGCCACTTTGTAGCTGTGCAGTTTTAAATGACTCGCCAGTATCACACACTGAGCTCCCCAGTGTCACACAGAGCTCCAGGCTGGTGGCACACACGTGCATATGCACATTCATGTGTGTGTACACCCCATGCTCACCATGCAGTCATAGGTGTCCTTGAGGCTCATGGGGACCCCATAGAGAAGACCTCTCTCACTCGTCTTAAGCTTCTTCAATGCCTGCAGTTCCTCCTTGCATTCCTCCAGGAAATCCATCAGGTAGTTCACCTCCTGGTGCACCTTCAGTGCCTGAACAACAGTGAAGACAGCAGACGACAGCCCCAGGTGAGGCCAGGACCAAAGCAGGGCACTCGGTTGCTCTGGCCCCTCCTACCACCCTGAGGTGACTGTGGCATGTGCCACCTCATAAGTCAGTGGCAGAGTTACACCTGCCCCCCACTCCTCTGAGTAAAACAATGACAGGTGACATCCCCCACTCCAGCCCAGAGCCCCTGGCTTGGACCGTGTGCCCTGGCCACCACCTGCTCTAAGTAGCTACAGAGGACACTCTCCAGACTCAGCTCTTCAGTCCGAAGCTGCTGGGCCAGCTCTGCCAGGGGCAGCTCCAGGATTGGCTGGGGGTCCAGGGCTGGTTCCTGCAGAGATGAGATGGAGTAGGCAGATTTCAAAGATGGACCCGCTAAGGCCCACTCCCACACACTCCACATGACACCCCATACTCCCCTACACACATAGCTGCACACACATCTGTGTCGCTCAGTACATGTTCCGGCACTCGTGCTTAGCACTGAAAGCATCTGCTGTGTCTCCAGGTTGTCATGAAAACCCTCCAAGGGCACGATGTTCTCCTCTGCCTCTGCCCCCAGTGGCCAGCCCAGGGCCTGGCATGGAGAGGGGCCTGCCCCTTCATGCTGCTCTTCAGAAGGGTCACAACTGGAGTGGGAGTGACTCCATTCATGACATCACGAGGCTGGAGGTTATGGAAGTGAAGTTCAGGCTGTGTGGGTGGCAAGAGAGTTGGCATCATCTTGGCCATGCCCTTGGTCAGCTGGGTAACTGGAGATGGACCCCTGCCCCTCCCATGGCCTACGTTTCCTCAGAGAGGGAAGGACTAGGAGTCAATCCTGAGTCAGCCCCTCAGCTGCTCTGAGCCCTGTCCTTCAGGATATGAGGGGAGGCCTGATACCAGCCCCTCAGAACTGCAGTCCTGGGCAGGTGTGACATGACAAAGGTCTGGCACGCAGCAGGCACTCAGGAAGGCAAAGTTCTCTTCCTCTTGCCCCCTCAGCTCTGGTGGAGATCCCGATGCCTCCAAGCTGGAGTACGGGTTGGGCAGGAAGATGTCACAGTGGGCTTTTCTTGGTCCTGGAGGTGGGAGAAGGTGGAAGCAAATAAATTTCCCTGGGAGGTTAGGATCCCCTGGCTCCAGTCTGCCCTCTTTCGTTCCTCCAATCACCCAGTCCTCCCCTCTGCACTGCGCCCTTTCTCACCAAGCGCACGAAGACTTCTCGGTTACTAAATCTTATGGATTCAGGTTAGTCTTCATCTCATTCCTCAGCAGCGCCTGACACTTTCCCTCCCGAAGCTCTCTATGCCCCTGACTCTGCTGGCCTCCTCCCACCCTCAGGTGGCTCCTTCTCAGTTTCCTGAAGTGTTGGTGTTCCTCGGGGTGTGACCTTTTCTCTCCCTGCCTGCCCACTCTCCATGGGTGACCTCGGCAGCCAGGTGCACCCCAAGGATATGCAGACCACCTGTTTCTCTAACCCAGGCCTCTCTTCCGCCAGGACTCAGACCCCTTTACCTACACCCACATATACACGGACTCCCCAGAACTCACCTTTTTACAGCCAAATCTGTTCTTCTTCTTGAAATTCCCAATCGATGACATGCATGTCACCAAAGCAACAAACCTCAGAATCACCCCAGGTCCTCCCTCACATCCAAGTTCTGATAATAGTTACGCTAGCTAACATAATCATACTGGGATGTGTTCTAACACTTAACAGTGCCAGGCCCTATTCCAAACACTACATATCATCACTCATTGCCTATAATGAGTTTTGGGAGGCCGGGTTGGGAGGATTTCTTGAGGCCAGGAGTTCGAGGCTGCAGTGAGCTATGATCGTGCCGCTGCACTCCAGCCTGGATGACAGATGAGATCCTGTCTCCAAGAAAATTGTAAATTAAAAATTTTAAATATATAATAACTCATATTACCCCTTGCAACAACCCTAAGAGGTAGGTCACATCGTTTTCTCGTTTCACAGCAGAAGACGACACTGAGGCACAGAGAGCTCCTCTTTGCCCAAGGATACACAGCCAGTAAGTGGCAGAGTTGGACCCAGGCAGTCCAACACCAGTGACCACATTCTTAACCACACGCACTGCCTGCAGGTGGTTTCTGCTCCTTCATATCTCCCACCTCGGACCCTCAGGCCTCCTGCCTGCCTAAGGACCTCTCTCTGTTAGCTCATCGGCCTCCTCACTGGCCTCCTTGGCTTGGCCTCCACTCCTCCAACTCAACCTCTTCCCTGCAGCCTGGGCAATCCTTTTAAGATCTTACAAGGCCCACTCTGAAAATAGGTCCCAGTTGCCCTCAGGATAACATTGCAGCACCATTCTCACCAGCACCACTTGCAAAGGCTTCACCGTAAACGTGTAACATGGGTTCCTGCTTCGATGTACACAATTCCCATTGACCAAGTACTCAGAGTATCACTGAGTGGGGCTGAGAACCCTTGGCTAAATGCTGTTATTAGTGTTTCCATTTCCCCAGTGAAGGCAACTGAGACCCAGAGAGACTAACTCTCTTGCCCAAGGTCAGAGGACAGGGGAGCCTGGGCTTAAACCCAGACCATCCATATCTTAACCACTACCCTCTCCTGGCTCTTGGGGCATCCTGCGGAAGGGAGGCCTTTTAAGGTGCCAGGCACCGGATCAGGCTCTTTCCCTGCTTGGGTCCAGTGGGCCTGTCTCTCTTGGCCTCTCCCATGCATGCTGCTCCAGCCACACTGCCCAGTCCCTCTCCTTGTTGTGCCGCAGCTCAGAGCTCCCCTGCTGGTGTGCCACAGGGACTCTCAGGAGGGTCCAGACACAGATACGTTGGACAGGGCTAGCATTCAGCCAGGATGCCCCGCCACAGCCATGCCAGTGGCTAAACTACTGAAACATTTCTGAGGCACTTGGCAAAAAGCTGTTCTGCTGGGCACCCCTACCACCCCAGTTGTCCTGGCCCCTCCCCGGGACTCCACCCTCTACACAGTCCAGCAAGTAAAGTTAATGCCCAGCCCAGCAAGGACCCTCTAGGCACAGGGACCGTGGAGGGCCAGCTTGGGTTCATCCCTTGCCCTGCGCCCTCCAACACTAAGGAGCCCTAGTGGGCCTTGCCAGGGACCTCCCTGCACTCACAGGTCCACGGACGCACCCCAGGGACATCAGCCGCTTCACACCAACCCCCATTTATCTATTTCTACCTGGAGAGAGGACACCCTGGTGGCACCCCCATGGGCAAGTGCCTAATGTGCTCCTCTGGGCCCCTGAGGCCAGTCCTCCCCCACAGCTGCCCTTGCATGGCCATATGTGGGAATGGCAGCCTCTGGGGGACTTTGACTCTCAGGGAGCTTGGGGAGAGGTGGGAAGAGCAGGCAAGGGCAGGGGTTGGGGGTGGCTAATGTGACCTCTGCAGATGGCTGCTGAGACCACAACAGGTGCTTCAGGGACCTGGGAGGACAGAATATCACATCCATCTAATAGAACAAATTCAGCTCACCCGAAATACCCACTCATCATGGACAACAACATTAGCTTCATTCCTAAAGTGAAAACAATCACTTGTACAGACAATCCCAACTTACCATGGTTCAACTTACGATCTTTGACTTTACGGTAGTGCAAAAGCGATTGATATACATTCACTAGAAAGCAGTAAGAGGCCGGGCGCGGTGGCTCATGCCTGTAATTCCAGCACTTTGGGAGGCCAAGGTGGGGGGGATCACCTGAGGTTAGGAGTTTGAGACC